CCGGTTTATGTCTTGAATGCATGTAGTCATTGTTCGTCGAATTCCATCTTTTGGGTCGGACGTCTGATATTTCTTTATTTCTTTCTTGGATGAGAGGAGAAAGTGGTCATTTGATTTGTTCTTAATTAGTGGGTAAGTTTGCAATAATTATGGGTTTTTATCCTCCTAATTGCGCTCTAGTATCTTCCTTCGCTCTTCTTTTCATGTGACAAAAGGTCCATCCCTCCAAATCTAAAAGATGTGTCTTTTTTTGAAAGCACCAAAGATAGTAAAGAGGGACTTGTCTTCTGAATATCTAGAAGGAATTTAGCTCGAATTCTTACCAAAAACTATAACGTAACAAATAAAATTGTAAAGCTCTTCCTTTTAACTAAACCAAAAAAGACATTGATCTATCCCCTTCTTTTTCTTCTTCAAACCTCCTTCCAAATTGAAAACCCGCAAATTTTGACACTCACAACGATGCAAAAACTATAATACGTATCCACTAACAATCATCAATTGAGTGGCAATGATCGCCAGCTTCGAAGCTTGAGCAGTCATGGCCATTGCAAGCTTAAAACTCCAGCAGCCATGGCCTTGAGCTTCGCGACTCAAAATTCAATGGGGCCGTGGCCTCTGCAAGGTTGACTCTCACTGGCCATGGCGGCCTCGAGCTTCACTAGATCTAAAAAATCTCGCGACCATTGCCGCAAGTTTTAATGGCCATAATTGCCATGAGCTTAAGGCTACTGTAGCCGTCTCTCTCTCTCTCTCTCTCTCTCAATTTTGCATTTACTTTTTATGTTGTTTGATGTGGTGTCACATAACGTTCTGCGAATTATAGCACATCACACATATTTCAACGTTCGTGTCAGCAATCCAACAATCAACGTCAGAAAAAACTGACCGATAAGAAAAAAAACGTAAAGCTACATTTTGAATCAAAATAGAGAGACGATATAGATTTTCGGGTTAAAATAGAGCGATGTGACATCATCCGTAAGTCATGTGAATAGATTGCATATGGCCATTTCCTGAAACTCCCTCTATGCTCATGAGTCGCATGCTTCCAAAAATGACAACATTTCTTTTTGAATTTGAAGCCTCATGTCCCAAGAAAAAGGTGTTGAAGTCAAGTTCTCATGTCGTACTAACTCAGTAGCTCGTTTCGCACATGGGCATGTGTCACGGTCGAGAGGTTTTTTGACACCAAAGACGGTGCACCATCAAAGAATGCTCGTCCAAACCTTAATAGAGCTTCCGGAACATTCCCAGGGATGGGCGAGACGGTAATTATGCTGAAAATCTAGAGAGTTCTCGGCATAAATGCCGGTAGGTGGTAGACGGGAACGATGCAATCTTGGTCACTCGTCTAGAAATCGATCAATGGCTGTAATCCGAGGCCCTCTACTATATTGAAATCTCTCTTCTGATTCAAAATCCTGGTGTAACATGTGTCCCACCTGTTCCGGTCATGGAACAGATGAAATAAATCAAAAAATGTATTTTTGTTCAAGAATGAAATCTGATGGGAACTATCTATATCTAGTTCATCCTTCGGAACCATATCACATCTCGAATATGATGAAATAGGATGAATTGAGACGGTATTTTGTAAATACGTAATTATCTTGAATATATTAACTATTTCTTTATTTTTCGATTGCCTGGAAGGGACAAAAGAAACATCTTGTTCTTTCTTCAACAATTTTTTATCTCTATCAGTAGGATTCGAACCTAGATGAAGTTCTAACCATCTGTCAGAGAAAAAAGAAAGAATAGATCTAGTAGGATTCCCAAGAAACTCTTCGATTTCTTTCGGAAGTAGATGATTCTTCATCTCCTTCTCACGTTCCGGGAATATCCAAAAAGGTCTCATTTTGATCATCCAAACAATAAGAAGCATTTCCATTCTCTCATAGAGCTTCTCTCTCTAGATTCTCTCTCTTTAATCTGGGTAAGTGAGTGAGCGATCAAGAAAAGGATTGGCCTATGCGTTCGAACGATCCAAGGAAGCCTAAGTCGCCGCACGGGTTGTTCCCAAACTATCGACCCGTGAAAAGTGGTATCGGAGCAAGTAGAGAGTTTGTCCAAAGAGATCGAGGAGCACACCAACTGGTCGAGAAAATGTTGAGCCAAGATCAACTTGCTTCAGTTGTTGTGGATGAAAGGGCTCCTCAAGAACAGGTTGCCCAAGACAAGATCCGTGGGAAGTCCAAGAAAAAGGATAGCTCGTCGGACGCCATGGCTGCGGTCGATGAGAAGCTCACGAGGATGAGAACGGCGATATTGGAGTTCATTGAAGAACTCGACGAAGTCAAAGGGCGGATCAACGAGGTCGAAGGAACTCTCCACCATGAATTCACAAACGTCGTCAATCGCACGACAGGCCCCTTGTTCGATAGGGACAATGCCCTCAAAGCATCAATCAAGGTGTTAAAGCTTGAAGTCATGGAGCTCAAAGAAGGCAACTCCAAAGCCAAGGTTGAAGCCTTGAAGATGGAGGTCCAAGAGCTCAAGACCAAGCTCATCCTATGCAAAGCAAGCATCGCGAATGGCGCTTTGCCCATTCGAGCGGCACACAAGCTGGACGTGCCAAAATCGAAAGAATTCAAAGGCAACCGGTCCACCAAAGAGGTGGACAACTTCCTATGGAGCATGGAGCAATACTTCGACAATATTGGAATCCAAGAAGACTTGGCCAAGTTACGAACTGCTTTGATATTCCTAGTTGATAATGCCATGCTTTGATGGCGTAATAGATGTGATGAGACGAAGCGAGGCGCCGATCCCATCAATACTTGGGATGAATTTGTTGAGGAGTTTCGGGACTACTTCTTCCCCGAGTTTGCTCAACAAGAAGCCTGTAGCAAACTCCATCGCCTTGAACAACGAGGCACGGTCCGAAAGTACAAGCTCCAAATTCCCAACCTTGGGGAGGAGGAGGCTCTCAGGGCATTCATGGATGGATTGAAGCCGTGAGCACCTAAGTAGAACCGACATGCAATACACGACACGACACGACACAATACAACACGCTTACACGTCGTATATTTAATGTATATTTTTATATATATACATAATAAATTATCATTTTTATGATTATTTCAATCAAATTAATTTGATAAATAAATAATAAAAAAAGAGTGTCGAACGAGTGTCAATGTCCGACACATGTCCGACACGACACGGAGGCCCCCGGAGAGTGTCCGCGCTTCCTAGGTGGGCACTACTCAAGGCCAAGCGAAGGGACGTTCGAAGCCTCTCAAGGGCACTAGTTGTGGCCGAGTCTCTCGCCGATTTCACCAAGGAGCCCCCAAAGTCAAGAGGGAGTGGGTGGAGGTCGGACCACCACCACGACGAAGAAGAAGACCAAGCTGTCCGTGGCTGAAAGGACGTGGATAGTGATCACAACCGTGACCGAAGAGACCATGGTGGACATGAGAAGTCATGGGGAGAAGGATCGTCCAAGCCAAGCGATCCGAAGTGGAATCGACCCCAAGGGCATTACAAGAACAAGTTCAAGACTCCACCACCGTCCTCGTGCTTCATTTGCAGCGGTATCCATTGCACTCAAAAATGCCCGAAGAAGAGCAAGATCAATGCCATTCTTGTCGTAGAAGAGGACGAAGAGCCAAAGCAAGAAAAGGAAAAACGCGAGGTGCGACTCGGAACCGTGAAGACTCTCAACACGATAAGAAAAGCACAGCCCAAGAAGAAGTCCACAAGTTCGCATATATCATTCGTTGAGGTCAAGGTACGTGGCGAATCCCTCTGTCTTGGTCGATACAGGTGCTTCAAACTTGTTCATGTCAAATGAAGTGGCCAAAAGCAATGGAGCCAACTCGTAATCGCTATAAGGCTGCCAATTCTAAAGACATACCAGTCGTGGGCGTGGCCAAAGATGTGGAACTCTAAGTTGGTGGATGAAAATGCAAACTTCCGTTTGAGGTAATTTCACTTGATGATTATGATCTCATTCTAGGAATTGAATTCTTTGATAGTACAAGGGCCATGATAGACTTGAGGACCAATACGATCATCACCGACTCGGAGTGCCCATCCACGATCCCAATGATCGATGGAGTGATAGAAGCAAAAGTCCTCTCCACGATCCAACGTGTGAACGAGGAACCTAGAGTTGAGAAGTCCATGCCCAAGCCCCGCACCGAGCCAAAATCAAAGATGATCCATCCTCCTCAACATGAAATGCCGATCCATGTCCTGTTCCCCGAGGTGGCAAACTTACCAACCAACATGGAGAAGGCCAGACTAAAGGAGCTGAATGCCCGACAAGCCAAGAAGCCAAAGGCCAAAAAACCTCAGAAGAATCGGAAGCGCTCCTAGAAGCCAACAAGCACCCCGGAGTTGAGAGCGCCGAGGACGTCGCTCGAATGGGTGGAGGAGAATGTCACGGTCGAGAGGTTTTTTGACACCGAAGACCATGCATCATCAAAGAATGCTCATCCAAACCCTAATGGAGCTTCTGGAACATTCCCAAGGACAGGCGAGCCGGTAATTATGCCGAGAACTCTCTAGATCTTCGGCATAAATGTCGGTAGGTGGTAGACAGGAACGATGCAATCTTGGTCACTCGTCTAGAAATCGATCAATTGTTGTAATCCGAGGCCCTCTACTAAATAAAGGGTGTCCTCCTTTTCATTTTGATCATCCAAACAATAAGAAGCATTTCCATTCTCTCCCAGAGCTTCTCTTTTTAGATTCTCTCTCTACGATCCGGATGAGTGAGTGAGCGATCAAGAAAAGGCTTGGCCTAGGCGTTCCAATGATCCAAGGAAACCTAAGTCGCCGCACGGGTCGTTCCCAAACTATCGGCCCGTAACACATGCCTTGGGGATTGTGTGCGTAGAGAGAGAGATCTGTGCTGCAACGTATCAACAAAGGAGGAATCTGTGCTATAACATACCAACAATTTCTTTGACCAACATGTATTCTAAAATACTACAAGTAAAGAGTGGTCAGCCTGCATTGCACAGCATGAGTAAGCCCAGACCAAATACCAAAATAGAACAAATCATATTTGATGAGTGGTGCAGAAGTTCCTTTGTACCTACATACACCATCCTCAGGGCACATCTCCTCTTGAGGCACAACAACTAACATACTTGACACCAGAAAAAAAGAGTAGAGCATCTCTTGTCATCAGTTCAAGAAAACCACTGTACACGGTTGAGCAATCTGGGCGCACACGCCAATACCCACTTGAGACTGCTTTTGGCAGATGACTGGCAAACGTGACCCAAATTTACACGTATTAGAAAGATGCATAGATCTCATAGCAAACGACGTGCACTCGAATGATATTTCTTTCTCCCTTGATAGCATTCGGCTCTTTTTCGTGGCTGCAACAGTTCCTACGTGATCACTTCCTGCTATGCCGGGTATCTGTAATATATGAGAATTCCGTGCACTGTCATTTTGCCTCTGATAAATTCTTTCCAAGTTCTCCACGGGTTTCTCTTCCTCTGACTTCCTCGTGTTGGCCAATTTTAGGCTTTTGAAAGTAGCCAATATTCTCTCTGCCTCTTTGGATAATCCAGTAGCTCGCCAAGCTTCTGCAACCAATAAGAAAGTTGATTTTTCAGGCCGAACATCAAATTCTTCCATAATCTGGAGGATTTCCTCTGATTTCCACGGTTGCTTCGCTTCTCTGTAACCCCAAATTAGAGTCTCGAAAGTTTTCAAGTTTGGACAAATCCCATATTCGCACATATGGTCCAAAACTCTAGTTGCACGGTCCATGTCTCCGTTACTGCACCATCCACTGATGATGGTTGTGAAAATGACCACATTTGGGCGAAAACCCGAATGGATCATGGCCATTAAGAGCTCTTCTGCCTTCTCAGTTTCTTTTGCACGGACATAGCCTTTGGCTAAGATGCTATAAGCATGTGCATCAGGTTGTATGCCAGCCTTCCCCATGCTATCGAAGATCTCCTCACACTTGTCCATGTATCCTGCCGTGCTCCATGCATTCATGATGGTGCTATATGTTACAACATCTGGTTTCACCCCGAATTCATTCATCAACTTCAAAACCTGAAATGATGTCCATCTATGGATCATATCCACTTTTCCCTCAGGGAGGAACCCAAAAAGAGAAAGCCGGAGCAGATTCATGAAAAATCAAAAGCCGGCAGAAAACTATAATGTTACCAATCTATCAAATTGTCTTGATGGCCATTATGATTAACGTCTGTTTGATAACTAAGCAAAAAAGAAGCTTACATAAAATTGAGAACATTAATTTTTTTAGTTAAAAGCATAGACCGTATTGAAAATAGCTAATGAAGAACTGCCAAAGGTGAATGAATAAGTTCAAATAATACAATTAAAACTTCCTTCAGAAATAACTGTCCGATAAGTTCACTAAAACAGAAACTTCCTCCAGAAACTAGTGTCCAATAAATTGACCAGGGATGCTCTTTTTGAAAACCAGCTAGAATCAGATCCTAATTTTTCTGCAAGTTTATGGTGTATATCATCACTTAGGAGCCATTATAGTACAAGAATTTGATTAGAGACTTCAAAAAATAACTAGCTAATACTCACCTCATCAACACCATCTCTGTCCATAATTTCAACAAAGCCTCTGACCAGTGAATTAAAAAGAACGAGATTGGGATGCATTCCAAGATCCTTCATCCTGTAAACGAAACTCAAAGCCTTCTTCATTTTACGTTCCTTACAATAACCAGTTATAATGATGCCCCAAGTTCTCTCATTCGGCTCCACGTTACTTTTCTGCATCTCTAGGATTAGATCTTCAGCCTTTTCCGTCTCTTCATTCTGAGCATATGAGGTGGCGATAGTGTTGTAAGTAACGGCATCAGGTTGCATATTGGAGGCCACCATTTTGTTAACTACATTCCATGCCTCAGTGATGTTCTTCTTACTGCACCATGATCTGACTAAGACATTATATGTTCTTACATTAGGTTTCACTTTTCCCTCTTGGGACATCAGGTCCAGAAGTTTCATAGACTCTTCAGGCTTCCCAGCAATGCCAAACCCTTTGACTAATGTGTTATAAGTGCTGGTAGTGGGTCTTATTCCACTCGCCTTCATCTTATGAAAGGCCTCCATTGCCTCCTCCATATTACCAGATTCTGAGAAAGCATTAATAGCAGCATTGAAAAAGATTGAATCAGGCTTCATTCCATTCTCTTCCACCTGCATGATGATAGAGCGTGTGGAATCAAAACGCTTCTGGATAGTCAATGCAGCAAGCAGGGTCGTGTAAGATATTAGAGAAGGTTTATGCCCTCCTTCAATGAGATTTCTGAAGATGGACTCGGCTTCTTGAGGTTTCCCCCTTTCTACAAGAATGTTCATCATTTTTGTCCTTGACCGCACAGTTCGGCAGCTATTTTTGTTCTTGCAATCTAAACAGCAGGTTTCATTCCGAGGACCTTCAGACTGCACAGCATGGTCCTCATTAGCTTGATAATTTTTGTTCAATATAAAGACACAGAAGGAAATAAAACCGATATAATTACATTAAAAAGCAGGAAATTAAGAAAAGAAAACCTGAATAGAATACATTTTTGAATATGAAAATCAAGTGGAATTGGATCGATCTTTATGCAACTATAAAACTTTCAATTAAAAAATGACTTCTACTGTTTCCGACGGCAACAAAAAATCTTCGCAGCCAATATGTTGAAAGATGCTCGTGTGTATATTTAAGTTATTCTTCCATATTGTCAAAGACTTGTAGGTTTAAGCTTTACTCCTTCTTGAAGATATTCTCAAACATATGAAATTTGAAAGAGATATTACATGCATCTTAATATGACTACGGCTACTTATTAATGACCAGAACAGGTTGCACATCAGCTCTCAAACAAAGCCAAGGAAATTGGAATACCATGAATAAGATTATCCATTTTCAGGAATAAATAATACACCTTAGTAAGTATATCTTGAACAGTTGCTTTCTTTGTGCTGGAAGGTCCAACCTTATCTTCATTTGTGAACACAGGAAGAGCTCCATGTCTTGTAGATTCCTCCATATGGTTGGTCCTACACGTGTCTATCAACCTTGAAGTACCAGAATTACATGAACAAAGGACCAGCGTGATGCAGATATCTAGACACTTGAACACCGGCTTGTGGAAATTTTACTGACAAAGAAACAATAAATATCCGTGACTTAATAAATCACTCAAAGCTGCCCACCGTACAAAAAGCTAACCAGATCAACCAAGACTGCACACAGATGACTTCATCAACTTCAGATAATTTCTGCAGAAAGAGAGCTAAACTGGAACAATCATTAGGAACTTGGAACTTTCAATGATGCGACACCCTCATGATAGCTCTTGTTCATAAAAGCCACACTGCATATATGTCGATGAGAATTCCTACCTTCTACGCACTAGACATGGGGACCTCTAACTCTAAGCTAAAGAATCCTTATATGGACTGCAGAATCAGAGGGGAAAATTGCTCAACTGTCTACTCACATCACCAGTACCTGAGACCTTGTGCTATAGCAACTGTTCCTCATCCCTACTAATTCATGTTTGACATATTCATACTCACAAATGGCAGCCATATGCTTTGAACATGAAGATTGTTATTTAATTCGATTCGTTACAAAATGGGGCAAGAACGTATTCCCTGTTCCGGCTCCTATTACATTAATCATGGGTTGCAATTTTTGAGGCTGGAAGAGTCACTGAATTTTCACATCATTCCTTCCTTGGAATCGAACATAAGAGTGGAAATGGTGATTTCATTCTCTGTTTCATTCCCTTACATTCTCATCTCAATAACTCTCATGACACCAAGCACAGGACACATCCAAAAAGCCCTTCAGAACCCATGAATGTTGAAACAGTGATTAGGACAGCCAAAGGTTGCAGAGTTTTTGCAGCGAAGAGCACGCAAAGTCAGGGATCGTCTAGTAACCCCAAAAAGATCCTTCTTTTCAATAACCCACAAACCAAGAAACGCAGCTTAAGGTCACAAGTCGCAAAACATCTGATCCTCTCATATCTGATGTCTTACCACCACTCAAGTGAAATGAACAGCAAGAACAACTAATACCCATGAATAATTAACCAAGAAAAATCCCATCTTCATCATCACCCAGAGTAAGAACATTCAAGAAATCAAACGCGCAGGATAAGTACAAAGAACAGAGTGTCGAGTGTGGTACCTTTTGGTTTGAGGGTGTGGAGCAGTCGAGAAAGAAGTCCAGGAACTTTGGAAAGCATCGTCTGATCGTGCTGTTATATATAGAGGGAAAAGAAAACGTTGAACATAAAAAAAGAAAAAGTTTGAAAATTCCATCGACCAATAGAAAATATTATCCACGAATAGGAAAAGAGCTTGAGGACAAGAGAAAAGGGATAAGGGAAAAAGAATGAGGCCGAGCTGAAATTTGGAGATGTTGCCCCATGACCATGTTGGCCTCCATCTCTCCCCTTTAGTTTGGCCTCGGCAAGCTTACTATTTCTTATCTACTATTTTTTCTAACTTCTCTTTTGAAAACAAAGAAATCATTTGTTAATTTTCCTGCCGTGAAGTTATTTTATTTGTAACACTAAACCATCATTTAAACTTCGTCACAATACAACTACACCTACACAATTGATGCTAACATAAAAGTAATCTTAATTCTTAAAAATCGGAATATGACGTAATTGTTTGCTCGAAACGTCGTAAGAATAGAATAACGACAAATCATCACTTTGAAAACCGACTCAAGCTTTTGAGTTTTGGTAAAGGAAAACACGGTCTAGGCGTGGCATAATTAAGATTAAAATAAGCTCCATCGAATGAAAAAATGCTAACGTATGTGCTCGTCTGAACTATGTGAGACTACTTCTTAAAGTATTCGTCTTGAAGAACTTAATGAAATGAAGATTGGGATAGGACTTAAAATTTCTAGAGTTTGAATGGGGTTTCTATGACGAGCACATTCATGATAAAAGAGTTTGAATGGGGTTTCTAGAGTTCGAAAAAAGACTCTGTGCTTTTGAAGTCTTAGGTAGGCAGGCATCGACCGGTGGTTCATGCTCAATGTCGACCCGAGTACTGTCTCCACTCGACCCTCTCCATCCGGGCTTGGAATTTTTCATAAGGCCATGCCGAAGTTCTCCTGAACCCATTCGTTGAAGATCTCCAGTTTTGAAGAACATTGAGTCGAATACCAGACATTTTGATGGCAACTAGAAATTTGGGCTTTCGGGCTTTCTCATTGAGCTATGAAATTGATTTCTTTGATTTGGTAAATAACACAAGTGGTTTCTGAATTTTGGCTTAATATGTAACGTGGTCTCTCAATTTTAAATTTGTTCAATATGTTTAATGAATTTTAGTTTAATATGCAACATCATCCCTGAACTTCTAATTTATTCAATGTGATTCATAGACTTTTGGTACATGTTCAATTTAGTCTTTGAATTATGAAAATATTTAATATTATCTCTCAACTTAAATTAATGGAAAGATAAGATTGAATATTTTCGTACAGTTTGCGGATTAAATTTTTTCTTTGGCTAAATTAAACAGATCAGAAGTTGAGAGGCAACACCGTACTAGGGTCCGAGTTGAAGAACTATTCGCGGATAATGATGCCCGAAATCAAAGGCGAGCTCAAATCGTTGAAGAGACGAAGTTTTCCTGGATTCGAAGTCGGACAAGAACCAATTACAGAAGATACAGTATGACCTCCAGGGCCGTGATTCTGTCAGAAAAGCGCGATCCTAATCAATAGGCAATGGTCGCTCGCGACCCATCTGTGATCTTGGATCCTCTCTTTCGATAGAGCTTTGATTCGAGGAAAATGTCGAGGCTGTGGAGATGGTACCAGAATTGCTTGCGAGATCATCCCGTGAAGACGCAGGTCATCAGCTCCGGTCTCATTTGGGGCGTCGGCGACGTCGCTGCTCAGACCATCACTCACTCCACGGCCAAGAGGCACCATCATCTTCAGGTGAATCATGAACCGATCGAGAAAACTGTCATGGGTCCCATACGATTATGGTTGAAGTCATTTGGTCTGTTCTTATGTATCTTATGTTTCGGATAATTTGCGAGAAATGGTCCTTTGCATACATGTGTTTCGACACGTTTCATCCCTGCTTTGTGTGTAAATGCATGAGGTTATTCCATTTATCTCGTGTAATTGAGCTACTTGGGCATGTCAAACATCATTTCAGGGTGCTATATATTTGGTCATTGTTTGATTATTATGCTATTTTAGTTGGTTTCCTTTTGGTGCTCTTCACTATTTTCATTGGAAATGTAATGCGATGGAATTATGTGAATAGATGAATCATTTCCTTGCACAAGCATGCGTTACCTTTCTCTGCATTTGGTTCCACGGTCGATGATACGTTGGCCTTGTTGGGGGTTAATTGGGGCCACATGCAGTATATGGCTACGTTGAAGTTGGTGTTTATTCCATTTATAAGGAGGGTATTCGCAGGTTTTAGTTTTAAATCGCGTTCAAGGATGTAAACTGTGTTAGGTTTGTGATATCTTGATCGACATACGCGTCAATGTGTGCAATGTGGCTTCATGGATGCGTGAGGTATCCATGTTTTCTTGGAGAAAGCACATTTTGGAGAAGGCTGTCGAGTGTTAAGGAAGGATTGATATGACCTGCAAGTAGCAAAGTTGCTGTGGTGCCTTTTCTATCATAATTTGGAAGTATGCGTGACTTCTCCTTTGTGATATGTCGAGGTTTGGCAAATTGGAGTCATCCGTGAAGAGCACAGTGAAGTAACAAGAACCGCAGTGACTTAGAGTGCAATGCTAGATATGTAATTTTATTTGGGACAGACCACATGTTGTAACTGCTAGATGAAGCATCGCTAAATTTTGGGGTTTTCTTGTCAATCAGGATGAAGAAAAGGAATTGAAGATCAATTGGAGGAGAGTGGTAACTACCAGCCTGTTTGGCTTTGGATTTGTTGGACCAGTTGGCCATTTCTGGTACTCACTTCGCTTGTCTAAAGAATCAATTAGCTTATATTCTTTTCATTAAGTCTATGTACTCATGATGTGCTTCCTGTTAGCTGTTCAAGTGGCAAAAGGGCGATCTCCATAAGTTGGCATGGCGAGGCGCATGTGTTTCACTTCGATTTGAACACTGTGCATAAAGTGCCATTGAAAGTTCTCATCTTATGATACCTGCATGCAGGTATGAAGGCTTGGACCGGTTTATAAGGTTGCGACTTCTAATGCAACCTAACTCTTTGCGTTTTGTCTCTGCCAAAGTAGCAATTGACGGGTTCCTCTTTGGGCCATTGGATCTACTCATCTTCTTCACGTACATGGGTTTATCTGCCGGAAAGAGTGTTCCTCAAGTTAAAGAAGATGTCAAGAGGGATTTTCTTCCTGCCCTGATTCTGGAGGGAGGCATCTGGCCGATTGTTCAAGTGGCTAATTTCCGATTCATACCTGTTAGGTATCAACTCCTCTACGTCAATTTCTTCTGCTTGTTAGATAGCTGCTTCTTGTCATGGATGGAGCAACAAGAGGATGCTCCTTGGAAAGAGTGGTTGAAGTCTTTGATACCATTAACTAATGAGAAAGACAAAGGTGGATGATTGCCATTCGAGATATTGAGTTTCCTGATCCTTCTTTCAACAGATATGTAGGTGTAAAGCAGAAAAATCCGGTACGTCAACTTGTATTGTGAGAGTTGGAACATATGAGTGGCGGAATGAATCGTAGTAGAGTTGTGAGGAGATGGTATAGTATATATTGTTGTCATTTCTGCTAAACTTTCAAGATTCTTTCATTGGAGGGCAATCGTGCTGATTTACTCTGTTCTTCATTCATTCCATCTCATTGTGGTTGATAGAATCGATCTTTCCAGGCTAAGAACACCTACGTAGTTCTACTTCCACGACATGCCGAGAATTCTCGGCAATTTTAACTAAAAGCAATTTTCCTAGAAGCGTTAAATGACCTTTTTGTATTCTCTACTATAGTTGAAAGGAAATTTAATTTCTCTTACCTGGTTCCATCTTGACGTCTCTTTCTTCAATTTTTTTTCTTTATTTTGAAATCATTGTTTGGGCTGCTTTTAATTTGAAGGGATGACAAGCATGTATGTTCTTTTTAATCTGTATGTTACCTCAGAATGTGGCGCTACGACTTTTGGCATCAGTGGGCTTTTTATCCCGGTAAATTTGATATCATTCTTTGCCAGTAAGGTGCAGTTAATGGTCCCTGTCGGCTGGGAAATTCTTGCTTGGCCGTTGATCATATGAGCCCCACATATGATCATTGGCTGTGATTGCATTGGGTCCAGGGAAGAGTTTCCCTGTCGGCCGATATATTAGCATGAAAGCTGATTGGATGTATCATGCCATTTGCAGAAGTGTAAATCTGTTCACCAAATAAATCATTTGCTGAATTCAGAGCTGTTGCATTATAAATGAGAATGTAGTAGATACAGGCTTTGTTAGATCATCTAGACGGAGAAGAACTTCACATGTTACAAAAATCTGAAACATGTTAGGAAAGGATCAGCAGTAAGTAAAGCGTCTATCATGAGCGGTCTGTGATCTTCAAACAATTCCTCAACAGGAATTTCAGGAGTGATAATCCATCAGTTGGCCAAGAAGTTTGAAGCTTCTCTTTGGCTTCACTGTACATGCCTCATCGACTATGGGTTTCACTGCTTGAACAAGAAGGGTAAAGACCATATTCGCTGGTGTTATCACTTTGTCGGGTAACGCCGTCTTCGTGACTCCCTAGTATCAGAGAGAATTTCCTCATTTCTGAAGAACTGTATACTTTGCTTTGACCCGGTCGGACTCCTTCATCTAGATCTGCCAGAGACCCTTCTCCCTCCAACGCACGAACTATCTGCTTTTGCACATTTCATTTGACAGGATTCAGAAGATTTAACAGGGCAGACTCATGGCAGTTTATTCTGCCAATTACCAATCACAGTTTCATTTTCACCCCTAATTATAGCCACCTGTTCTAAAGAGTATATATTCTACGATTATTGGGGCTCTGGAGGTTGGTGGTGACTAACACTACATCAAGCAATGTCCAGAAAGTCGTGGCAATGTGAACTTGAGCTAGGATGTCTGAATCGACAGCACATGCTTCTTTCAAGAGCGATTCAATAAATTTCTCGAAGCGGTTTGTTTGCAATGTTGTTTTTTTTTGTTTGTAGATAACTATAAATACAGATGTTTTTGAAACTCCCTCCCGCCTTAAAGCACAATTAACCTCGATGCTGCCAGTGGACATACTGGATGTTGCATATCGTGAGAAATTCTTTACTCTCAGAAGGCCATCAAGCATGGGATCCTTGGGTTTTGCACAAATCTTACAGCATTTTGGATTGGTCATTAGGGATTGAATGATCCCAGACCTTGAAGGGCAAAAAGGGTCCTTGTGACAACTAGATAAGTGGGGTTCGATTCTACCAGCTGATGGACAGCAACAATCGTGAAGTTGTAATTACCTGGCTCATTCGTGGCCGGAGCCACGCTGAATGACGCACGCAAGCAGCGGCACATCCAATCATGCTCAACATCTCATCGGAATCATAATTCTTCCGCAATCTTGCATCAACAATTTTGTCCATTTTGCCGGTCTCACTAGCTTGGTTAAGTAGAGGTCTAGCCTGACATCAAAGCAACCCACTTAAGTCCATTTGATGAAGTAACAGAAATATACCGATGCACCTATAATGCTCGACATTCCTCTCATCAAACCTCTTGTTTCTGCGGAAAAGTACTACGCGAGGGGAAAATATGGGAAACATAAACTAACCCAGTCGACCAACCCCTGGCCGTCATTTGTCCATGACTCTGTTCTCATGATAGGTGGATTTCCAGTGATAAGTTCCAAAAGCACAACGCCAAATGAATATACATCGGACTTTTCTGTTAATTTACCACTTGATGCATACTCAGGGGCCAGGTACCTGAAAAATTAATCAGCATGTTGTATCATAAGGAATGCAAAAATAATCGTAAGCTAGCCATCACTGGGCCAAGAGACGAGTTATAAAACAGAAATTTCTCCAAAAATTTCATTGACGGAAATATGAGAGTTGTGAGCATTACTCTTGATGACCATGCGTAGCATGCAACACAAGAGCAGGTCTTACCCAAAAGTTCCTACCACTCGGGTAGAAATATGAGAGACGTTAGCAGTACTACCAGAAAAGAACTTGGCAAGCCCAAAATCAGAAACCTGCAGATAAAGATTTCATCAGGAAAAACGTAGTAATCAGTAAAAACTCATCCACTTCAAACTTTACAGGCCAAGCAAAATATCCTTGTGAATAGACAAAAAGATTTGGACAAAGCAGTTGCAATGCCAAAAACTGTACCTTTGCCTCGAAATTAAAATCAAGAAGAATATTGGCTGCCTTTATGTCACGATGGATGATTGTTGGGCTACCTGAAAAAAAAAAAAAAAGAGCTAGCTTGATTTTCAGAGTATTCATATCCAATTCCAGACAAACTCGACCGTAATGGGATCAGGTGCATACAGTGATCGTGCAAGGTCAAGATAGAGATGAGGAGAGAACATTAGTAACAAATCTAGAAGAACACTCACAGTCCTCTTGGAGATAGGCCAGTCCTTTTGCGGTTCCTACTGCAATTTTTAATCGGGTTCTCCAATCGAGAACAGGCTGCCCATTTCCTGCAAGGCATAATCTCTGTGTCATTTGTATATAAATTAAATTGGTGCAGAGTCAGAACATGACACTTAGCATTCAAAATAATTGAACATACCGTGTAAGTGGAATTCTAGAGTGTTGTTGGGAACAAACTCATAAACCAGAAACCTCTCTGCCCCGGTTATGCAGTATCCAAGCAACGTAACAAGATGTTTGTGATGCACACGACTGATGATATCAAGCTCGGCTTGAAATTCCTGTTGTCCCTGGTGGCTTCCCATCTTCAACTGCTTAACAGCAATTTCTTTCCCATCGGCAAGGACTCCCTTGTGGACATAGCCAAAACCGCCTTCTCCGAGAAGGTTTGCCCTGGAGAAGCTATTAGTTGCTCCGACTAATTCACCATAAGTGAAAGTGCCCCTTGAGAAGCTCAAGGAAGTTATGAGGGGCGAATGTAACTCAGGCGCCGAGTTAGCGGAATCTCCATTGCCGCTCAGAAGATTGGGTGGGGCAATGGCGAAGGCCTTTGGTGGCATGGCAATGATACAAGCCCTTGACTGGGGCTGAACATTCTCGTTTGGATACTGAAAGCCTTGAGGAGGAGCAGCACTAACACCATCTAGTAATGCAAACCAAAGATTAATTGATTTCAGTAATGTGCGATGTGGCTGAATGGTAGAATGAATGAGCATGTACTTCCTAGATCAAGCTGTTAAATTGGATCAGAAAACAAATTAGAAGATCAACTTTCCAAGAACTGCCAAATATAAGGATGATGTCATTGATATGACATGGGCGTACAGAGACGCAGCATGTCTCATCCACAAGATTTCCTAACTATAAATTCGCTCTAATAATGTCGAGTTCTAAGCACTCTGTGCCGGCGGCACAAGTGAGACTTGAAGTATTGCTTTCTACAATAGCAATCTGCAGAAAATATCATTCTCTCGTGCATCGACATAACCAAACACTCAGATTCTCCCGAGTTGTTTGGCAGGCACGAAGATTGCAATGTGAAAGTTTATCACTAGCAACATACAAGAACACATGGCCGATAAATCAATTTCAGACAATTCCCATGAAAATGCAGAGGCAGTGGTCAATCTCACTTATGCAAGAGCACTGCTTATATCAAATCCTCCGGATCATTTAACTGACGAGATCAAACAAAATTCACCTTTTGCGCCGGAGGAATACGATCTGTGACTGACTTTCCCAGCAATGGGTCCTTGCTTTCTCTTGCATTTGAAGCAAACAAACAAGAGAACCCCGAGCATCACTATCAAAGCCACCCCACCCATGGCTGCCCCAGCGATCAACCTTGCCGGTACGTGAGACGCCGTTTCCGCACGTTGACCTGCTTGACCTCCAACGGCCACCACCGGCAAACTTCCATTCGGGAGCTGACGTGGCGGCGGCAGTGTAGCTGTCGGATTTCCCGGCGGAGCCGGACGAGGCGTAACGGGAGGGGTTAGGGGAGGTGGCTCTGGCGAAGGCACGCTCGACGGCGGAAAAACACTCGACCGGTTCGCAGGCGGAGCCGGTGATGGCGTCGCCGGAGATTGCGGACGAGCCGCCGGCGACCGTGGTGCTGGAGATTCTGTAGGACTCGGCCGAGCTTCTTCAGGAGGAGGAGAAGGAGTCACGGGGAGTGGCGCGGATGGTGGCCGCGCGATCGGATTCGCAGGCGATGGTGGAGGAGTTTCCGGCGGCGACGTAGATTTTGACGGGGACGGCGTTGGCTGTGTCCGAGGAGTGGCAGGAGCGGTCGGAATCCCCGGCGGAGGCGGAGACGCGGTCGGCGGAGTTTCGGCCGCCGGCGCGGCCGCAGCAGAATGCGGAGCCGGCGGCGTCACGGTCGCATTTCGCTCCGCCGGCGGAGAAACGGGCGGAGTCGACGGAGGAGCGGCCGCCGAGGGCGGCAGAGGAGGAGAGGAGACCGGGGCCGGAGAAGGCGGCCGAGCCGGAGGGGGCAATGGCGGGGAGGGCGGGGGAGGGGGCGAGACCGTCGTCGCCGGGCCCGAGGCGACTTCCGGCGGCTGCGCCGGCGGAGGCGGCGGCGGGGCCGAAGGTGGCTGGCTCGCCACGGAGGAGGACGGCGAACCTGCGGGAGCTAATGACGCCATGTTTGGTACTGCTTACTGAGCAGGTTTCATGCACGGTAAGATGGCTCGTGAGCTGAGGAGGGGAGCACGAAGTCCAGCGGGAGCGACCATGGAAGACCCCGAAACTTCGACGGCGGCGAAGGGTTTTGAACTTTTGGGAGGAGGAAGACGACGAGCTAATCACGGAGCTACAATTACGGTGGGTTGGGGCGGGAAGAGAGAGAGAGAGAGAGATTGACCGCCGATCTCGTGTAGAGGGATGAACAGATCAGTTCAGTGTGGGTCCCGCTGGCCACTGCGGTTGGAGAACTTTCTCCCGTTTATGTGTTTTCAGTTGTGCGGGTCTGCTCCTTCTCGGGTGGAAACCAGGTCACGCCGTGGCGTGCACAGTCCCAAGTGGAGCTCACATCGTCAAACAAAGTTTTTTTTCCTGTTTTTTTTTTTTGTGGTGCAGTTACCGTTTATGCGCGTCTATGTTATGCGCAGCGCAGTTCAACATAATATACAGGTGTTAGATGGTTTTACAACTTACTTAATCTCAATTTATCACCGTATCTCTCTTTCTATTCTCTTTCGCTCTCACTCAATCTCGAAATCGTTCGCTTTGCACTTTCAACTCGGTTTGCATATGAGTTGTTATTAGATTGAGTCAAATATGGAAGTGCTTTAGTAACATAAGTCGGGTATAAGTCACTAGATTTGCATCGCATGAAAAATGCAAATAGGTCAAAACGAATTAAATGGGTGTATTTGAATCTAAGCAATTCCGACTGACCAGTACGTCCGCAGCACCAATGGGTGGGTCCCGCTGGTCACTGCGAGAGAGGAAGAGAGACAACTTTCCAGTTATATAATTTTCTGTTACGTGGGTGTTTTTCTGGCGCGGGTGGTGGAAACCAGGTCACACTGTAACGCAATTCCATTGCCAATTTGCCACGGCCCCCAAGTGGAGCACACCCTATCCTTGGCGCTCACGTTTTCTCGCCCCGCCCAAAAAGAAATTGACTCCTCCTCACCCTCGTCATCATGGCCGAAACGAGGCACGCCTTTTCTATCCGAAACAATCCTCTTTTTTTGCTGTTACCGATGATATTCTACGTCGGAGTATCAGCGTGGCATGGTGTCATGTGGAGCGGAGCAGTTAACGTATCCCGATCGGTTCATTACTTCGTGGCTTAAGTTTTCGAGTGAAGGCGGATCCATTTGAAAAGTCGTGCTCTCAACAATGCCCTGAATTACTTTGTTTTTTTATTTCAATCGAAATGGATAAACTTGAATTTCTTTCTCGTGAGACCGACCATCATGAAAAAATAGAATTTCTTGCTCAAAAGTGCTCGATGGCCGGAAGAGGACGATGCCTTTCGTCGACGTAGCTTAAAAGTTCTTCTCATCAATCATGTAATCGAACGACCCCCTCAACAGGTTTTACTTTATCTCTTAATGAATATCGACTCACAAAAGTAATGAGTACACGCGAGCTGATTAGAACTACAATCAACTTTGTATCTCAAATTGATTCGAGCAAAAAAAGTCATATTAGACCTGTCAAAATGGGTTATATTCGGAAAAAAAATGTTTATAAACTTATTTCTTAACCCATACATAATGGGACGAGTTGTTATAGATGTTAGTTATATTCAATAAATAAATCATAAATGGGTTTAGAATAATAAAATCCAAACCTAACACACATTTATGACTCTTTCTTCATTCTCTTTCACCCTCACTGGATCTCATGCTTGCTCACATTGCGCTTTCACCTCAATTAGGGTACAACTTTTTTTAAATTGGGTCAAATATGAAAGTGTTTTAGCAATATGAATAAAGTAATTGTCACTAGATTTGTATTGTATAAAAATGGATCAGAACGGGTTAAATAGATCTATTTAGATCGTATCATTTTTGATCCACTCGTATAATAGATCTAAGTCGTATCGACTGAACTAGTATGTCCGCGACACGAATGGAAGCTGAATCTTTTGGATGTTCATGTGCTGCGGATGATCAACCAGTGAGCTTGCACTTTTGGAAAAGCATGAAGCAGCAAGAACAAACTCGAAGCAATAAAAGACGAGAGCATGTCACGTTCACGCATGTAGACTGCCTTGCTTTGTCGCTATCCGTTGGACAAGCATTTTGTCCGAGAATCGCTCGTTATCCGACAAAACGCATAAGAGTCAAAGGGGTAGTTGCAGCCCCCTAAGCCCGCTCTTAACTGCAGTGACAAAGCTGACGCGGCCCTAGGGAAGGGCCCAGACTCATCTTTGGCAATTGAGCAATGGTATCATTGTCCGGTCTTAACAAAGTCACAAGTTGGAATGTTATGCATCTAGGATTAGCTCAAACTTTGAAGTTCCGCGTGGGCCAAGTAGTTATGATGTACACAAGACGATTGGGAAAATTGTCCAAAGAGCTCTAAATTTATTGCACTTTTACCAATTCAGTCCTAAACCTTTTAAGTTTGTCAAGTCAGTCATAAACATTTTTACTTCTTGTCAATTCAGTCCTAAACCTTTTTACTTCTCGCCAATTGAGTCCATCCAGCCAATTTTGGCTGGTCGGCGCTGATGTGACCGACGACCGGCAAGCCAATGATAACGTGGCAATTTTTAAATATATATATATTTCTTTTTTTTTCTACCTTCAACCCTTTGGCCAGTCCGGCAACTGGGGTTCAACGACCGGCCAGAGGCGCGGGCCGGCGAGGTCGACCTCGCTGGCCTCTGGCGAAGCTCACCCCCGCCGACCACTGGCGAAGGCGAGCCTCGCCCGCCGCTGCCTAGGTGAGATCGAGGCTGACCTCGCTATGCCTGGGCGAGGTGAAACCCAGCGACGGCGAGGTCGGCTTCGCCATGGCTAGTCGAGGCTCGACCTCGCCAGATCTAGGTGAGGTCAACTTGGCAGCGATAGGCAAGGATCGGCCTCGCCATGGCTAGTCGAGGCTCGACCTCGCCAGATACGGGTGAGGTCGACCTGGTAGCAGTGGGCAAGGATCGCCCTCGCCATTGGCCAGCGAAGGCGAGCTTCGCCAAAGGCCGGTGAGGTCGACCTCGCTGGCCTGCGCCTCTGGCCGGTCTCCGGACCGGCCAGAGGGAAGAAGGCAGAAAAAAAAAGAAAGAAAAGAAAAAAATATTAAAAATTCGAAAAAAATATTTAAAAATTGTTAGGTCAGCATTGGCCGGACGGCCGACGGCCACATCAACACCAACAGGCCAAAATTGGCTGGATGGACTCAATTGGCAAGAAGTAAAAAGGTTTATGACTGAATTGGTAAAAGTGCAATAGGTTTAGGACTTTTTAGACAATTTTCCCCAAGACGATCGTAACGAGATATAGGGTTCTTACGACAGACACTTGGAGGCAGGGAGAATTAACACAAAAGTCTTATACCTATTGCAATTGTGTCAATTCAGTCCTAATTTTTTTTCAATTGAGTCCTAACTTTTTTGTATTTGTGTCAATTTAGTCAATTCGGCGAATTTTGGCCAGAAATCGCTAACATGGATGTCGACTATCTTACATGGCGCTGACGTAGACATTTTTAAATAATATTTTAAATATTTTTTCGAATTATTTGTTTGTGTTTTTCTCTTTTCTTTTCTTTCTCCTTTTCTTCTTTTCATTCTCTTTCTTTCTTTCTTTCTTTCTTTTTTCTTCCCTTCTTCCTCTAGCCGGTCGCTGAGGTCCGAAAACACTAATAAGGGTGAAACTTGGCCGCCCCCTGCCACTGGATGAGGCTCGCCCTCGCCAGATATGGCCGCTTGAGCTCTAAGCTCAACCTGGTTGCTAGGGCTCAGAGTTGTTGGCCATGGGCACTCTAGCTTCTCACTCGCACCATGGCTGCCAAATCTCTGAGCTCGAGCCTTGGTCGTTCGAGCTTTGAGCTCACGAATATGGCCACTCCCTCTCTCCTCATTTGGCGGTTCTCTAGTTCCTCTCACTTGTGGCCAAAAATCGATCGAATCAACTGAGTCAAACCCTGACACCACGGCCATGGAAGTTTTCTAGCTCAAGCAACCACAAATATACAGGCAGTGAGGGCTAGGCTCCCTACTACTGGCCCTTAGCTCTGGTCAGTCGCTAAACCTCAGTAATTGGCTAAAGGAAGAAGGGAAGAAAAAAAGAAAGAGAAAAGAAAAAATAAATAAATAATTTTAAAAATATTATTTTAAAATGTCAAAGTCAGTGTCGACTGCGCCACGTAGAACGGCCGGTGTCCATGTTAGTTATTTCCGATCAAAATTGGCCGAATAGACTAAATTGGCACAAATGTAAAAGGTATAAAAAGGTTCAGGACTGAATTAGCTCAATTGTAATAAGTTTAAGACTTTTTGGTAATTTTTCCCTGCTACGTCGGCAGCCCTTTTCTTGAACTAGACAAAAAAGGGGGGCTAATTTGTTCATCATTGACCTCATCTTTTTGGAGCAGCCTGGCCATATTGAAAACAGTTCTTCACGAATGCTCTAATCTTAGTGTAGATGATTTGCTCCCGACCGGATCGAGGAATAAATTGGACCTTTTCTTTAGACAAGTGATGAACGAGGCACAAAAGACCTTATATACAAAGGGCGAGCCACGTTAAATGGGGAGGCCTAGGCGGCCTCGCCGTTTCGCGCAAGTACAGTCCCATCCGTGCACAATCAAGCGATGTGGGACAAAATCCGCGTGCATTTGAATTTGATTTAGTGGGCACGGCCGCACACGCCACCTAGAGAAAGCCCCCTCAAACCAGCCCAAACACATGCACTAAACTACAGGGCTTCATTCTTTCATCGAAATTGAGCCTCTCAAGCACGGGCTTTATATTCATTCCTTTGTTCCGCATATGAGTGCGAATCAAGGTTTTAGCTGAAGCCCATCATACAGAAAGAGGAATACCTCTGACTTGGGAGATGATCAAGAAGAAAGTCAAATTGCGTGATCTTGCGAGATCCACCCTAAAAAACAAGACGGCTTCGAAAAAGTCTCACCAAATAGACCCTAAGACTGATGATCGGG